CGCATATCTAGGCTAGTTCTCACTTGAACAGTAAAGGGCCAAGGGCTAGTTCACACCACCCAGCTAGTGAGTTAGCTCAATCATCGCAAGTAAAGGTTGAAAATGGCCCCTAGGGCCGCACCTTCTGAGGAGGTACTTGGAGCCCTAGGGATCTGCAACCGCCACCCTAGACAACTTGTTCCACCGAACCAAAAGAGCCACCGGTGCCGTGTCTGCCGAGTCACGGGCCATTCTTCGCCTGGGTCGGAGTACTTAGTGACTCAGCAAAAGGTGGTGTTGAAGTGACTCGACTCAGTGTTCCATTGAAACAAAACATGTGACACAAGACCAGGTTTTGAAGACTTAGTTTGTTTTACTTCAACCAGCTCCATGATCTTCAAGTGTTGTCACACCCCGTCCGAATTCGGCGAGATTTGGGGGGGGTCCCTTCGGCTCTACCAGGTCACCCCAGCCCAGAACAAACAGATCTACCAGGACACCCCAGGGGTGGTTCAAGGACACCCCTTTTTTCTAACCTCCAAGGACTTAGAGGGTCCTGGTACCCAAACTCTTACCAGAAACTGGTCAAACCATCCACCCCAAACCACGATCGGTGCCGACCCAACCAAAACCGACCATGCCCGGCGCCCGCTGAATTCTATCGGCGCCCACTTGGCCTTTGGCCCAGCAGTCACCCTGCTTGTCCAGTCACCGTTTCGGTTCGTTGGGTGGTCTGGACTGAGTCCCAATGGTGTGAGTGGAGGGTGTTTCTGGGGCGACATCCTCCAAAATCACTCCAAAATCGGCACTTCGAGCCCTCTGTCACTGGCTGTTTGGTGTGGTTCTGTTCCCCTTTTAAAAAACCCCACCCGTTTCGCAATCGGTTGCGCGGCGCCTGAGGCTCAGCCTGGTGGAACAGGATGATGGCGATGAAACCGGGATGGCTTGACCAGTGGGCTGGTGACCAGTGCCTGCCCACCACCAATTAGTCATATTAGCCCATCAAATCCCTGGCGAACACCTGCACAGCTGCACAGGTGCACAGAACATGGCTCATGTGACCCGCTCCAACGTTTGACCTCCCTCCCAGGAACATGGTATACGTGGAGTTCATGGTTTCCTCTGTTCCTCAAAAACTCACCAGGCAGGCCAGGCAGGTATGTTGTTCCACTTCCAATATACATGGGGTCAAATGACTTAGGCCAAAGTGGCCCGATATGACATACAGTTTTTCCAGGGAACGTCCTAAATATGTAGAGGTATGTAGAGGTGTAAGTATATATGTTTCTTTTCTACCCTAAGAATCCTTGCGCTCTCCATGGCAGGGGTCGGACCCGACACCGAAACGCAGGGGTGCGGACCCGAACCAAACCCTATGTGTTGCTTCGGGCCCGGATTCTTAGGCTTAGGGACCACATTCATCCACTTCCATGTTAGTGAGTCAGTGTCTAGTATATATATATATACCTAGCACTTCCTGTCCAGGTGCCCTGTCTGGAGACCTGTTTACGTAGGGTGGGGTAGTCTATTCGACACCCCTTGGAGGGTTCTGGTATGTAGTGTGTGTGTGTGTGTCGACCCCTGTTCCTAAGGGTTTTGGTTTCTTGCATACGGCTAAGTAACCACTTGTCCACGTCTATTCACAGGCCGGGCATTTACATGCATAGGCACACACACAACCCCCCCTACCCCTGGGCCCCGTTGCTACCCCACCCGCTTTTCGGGCAACAGAAGGAAATCGCACTCAACACACTTGTGTGTTGGTGCCTTTCCTTCTGTTTCTCGTAGCTATTGCTAGCTACCCGGGCGGTTTAAGACAAAATGTCCCGCTCGCACTCTACTTTCATTTAACTAAGTGGGCCTCGTAACTACACCTATCTTTCCTTCTTGCCCTCTTAGTCTGCTTTTGTTTTGTTTGCTTTTTCTGTCCTTCTAAGGCTTTTTAGGTCGCTAGTAGTCTTCACAAAACGCGCCAATATTGGTGCTATATGTACAAAGTTTTGCGACCGGTGGACACCAACGACGCTACT